CACATCTCTAGATAATTGAAAAGTAAAGTTAATATGTTTTGGGATGAAATTTAATGTCGGTACTTATAGGGCTATGAGCGTAGATGGCAGGGGATGGTGGGTAATACTCTCCCAATAATTGGAAATCTCTTAAAGCTCCCCTTGATATTTCAGATAAATAAATGAAATATTCGTAAATTATCGCGGATCCAAATTCAATTTGTTGAAGTTAAAAATAAGAAAGAGATTAAATACTAATTCTCTTAGCACATTTAAAAAATACTTTTCTCTCATTACTGAAATTTAGAAAAATATTGAACGTGCAATTCAACTTTGTTACCCTCTACAATTGGGCCTAATTGACTGCCATGCATTAAACAGTGGATAAATGTAAGGTAAAAGCTTTACTAGTTTTATTGTAAGAATGGACATGCTACATATATGATACTGAGTGTTAAATGAAATTATTTTATTGATGCAGCGAAAATTTTTAAATTAACCACAAGTAATAATTATTTTTTTAAAGAAAAAAAATCAAAGTTTCGAAATTTTGAATAAGTAAATACATAAGTTATTAAATAAATTTCTAGCAATAGCAAAAAGAAAATTTTATTTTTTATTTTCCTATTTTTTGAATTTTGTCAACGATCTTTTCGTCCCCAACGTATCAAATTCTTTTGCGTAGCAAGAAAGAGACAAGGTTTTAAAATTTATATATATATATATTAATAANTATATATATATTGAAAAAAGTAAAGTAGTCAAAGTCAAGCTATTTGAAAATTACATACTGCCAAATAAATGCAGATGCAGCACAAGCGTTACACAGTGGTAATGGAATTTGTTTTATAAAAAGCTATTGCCAAAAGCATCGTTATGTTTTTCTCCCCTGAAGATGTTTCAAACAATTTTAACCACGTAACAGGATGTAGGTCTTTCTAAGTTCACGGCATCTCCCACTATTAAACTTCATTATCTGAATGTAGTCAAGTATATTATTTCCATTGTTAGTTTTTCTGTGCCGACCGGCGTGTGTAGAAGGCAGGGAACTGTCCTTGCATCAGAAAGGTTCTGGGTTCGAATCCTGGGCAAAGCATGGATGTTCTTTCCTTCTCTGTACCAGCTGTCCTCACTGTGGGAGCGACATTGGTCCACCTAATATGGTGCCCCTGAAAGAGAGGCCAACAAAATCACCCTGTATATGACTGAATTGACGGATGTTAACACAGGAGGGCATTGGAAAAAACCGAAAGAAATTACTCAAATATGCATCGAATCCGCCACTGTCAGTCTTACGTTTCTCCGTTAGTTGATGAAGATCCATCTTCGCGTAAATAAAGGTAGCACACTCGCTATAAAGTGGTAATGGAATTTGTTTTATAAAAAGCTATTGCTAAAAGCTTCGATAGGTATATCTCCCCTGGGGATGTTTCAAACAATTTTGACACGTAACAGGATGTAGCTCGTTCTAAGTTCACGTCATCTCCCACTATTGATCTTCATTATCTAAATGCAGTCAAATATAATATTTCCATTGTTAGTTTTTCTGCTCAAAATGATGGCACAACGTTTCACCCCCCCCTTGAATATACATGGAAAAAAAATGCTCGTGGGACAGAGAGAAATGACTCAAATATGCATCTGTTCTGTCACTGTCAGTCTTGCGTTTCTCCGTCAGTTGATGAAGATCCATCTTCTCGTAAATGATCCAGAGCTGCATTTAGTTTTTGGATATCGTATACACGGAGAAATATCTGCCGGCTTGAATGAATTTCTACCTCCAAGGCGTAATTGCTCCGGATACTAATCATCGAGCAGGGATAACTTTCTATAACAGCATCTCTTAAACTACTCGAGCACCCTTGTGAGGACCACGCATCGTTCTTCACACACAACAGACACGTGTTTATAAATTTCACCTCCTTCAACAACTTCAGTCACCAAGAAACGAGTCACACCAATGCATGACACTGCTTACCTTCATTCCTTAATCTGAATGAAATAAATGAAAGGTATTTTTTTCTTTAAAATCTACTGGGTGTATAAACGTTATCCAACATGTAAACGCCACTACAGATATTCAAATATAGGTACCAACCTGTTCTATAAGCCTGTCACAGTTGGCTATGATGTGGCGCAAACGAATTGTAGCATTTTTCATGACCCACTAAAGTATTGGAATATCGATGCGGTCGATGACCTCTCGAATAACAGTTTTCAACTCAGCAATGGTTTTGGCTTTTGTCCGTACACACTGTCTTCATAACAACTCAAAGATGAGTCGCATGTGTTTACAGCTGGTAAATATGGTGGTCAAGTGAGTCCCATTCTAGTGGCCTCTGGGTACCACAAAGCCAGAATGCGATCCCCAAAGTTCTCTGGACACCAAACACTCTCTTGGTCCAACTGGTTTGAGCTCCCTATTGCATAAACCACATCTTGTCGAAACAAGGGACACTTTGAATAATGCAGATGAAATCACTTTCCAAAACCTTCATCTATCGTTCAGTAATCACCAGGCCATCAATGAATATCTCGCCTGGTATTCCATTACTGGAAATTGCACACCATACAGTCACCCGTTGAGGGTGGAAAGCTTTCTCGATAGCGAAATGCGGATTATCAATCCCCTATTACGGTTCTTTTGCTTAATAAAACAATTATGTGCCAATTTCGAGTGACAACAAGTTGCGTGTCCTTACTAGTTCCTATCATGTTCTGCGGTCAACCACGACGTTTCAAATTCATCAAGCAAACTGTTCAGAAGTTCTGATGTTTTTATTTCCTATAGTTTAATAATTGTCACCCTGATGTCCTGTACACTGGTCTTTCGTTGTCAATGAAGTTTTTCCTAATTCCGACTCTTTTACAGTACATCTGCGCTATATTTAGAGAAATAATAATAGTTTTAATATTGTTCTAGATATTCTTTTATTCCTGCATGTGAAAAGAATAAGATGTTCAGTTCAAGAATTTTAAGTTTTTTTCTATATTCTTTATTCTTATTGTTAATGATTAAGACCGAAAAAATTTCAAATATTTATGATTGAAATGTAGCATCAATTTTATTTTTGATGATAATTATTTTTAACCTTTTTCGATAAAATTTGTTGTGAATGCATACGTAAAAATTTATTCTTTTGTTTATTACCGTTTGAAGTAAAAAAAAATATTCTATTCTTGCCATCTGCATGACAGGCTGGTTTATCTACATAAACTAACGTCTTCGCTGTTATACACTGTTTTCTACTTTTATGGAGTCACCGCTTCACTGTTCCAGATTGATTCTTTGTTTTTGGCAGCATTGCTTTGAGGCTGTAACATGGGCATTTTAAAAAAAAATCGGGCATAGACACGCTGTTTTGCGTCACTCTCTTCCCCCCTTTCTTAAATGCTGATGTTTACTGAAATTCAAAGTTAATATCTACAAAAAATTCACGGACTTTACAATTTAAAAATTTCGGAGGAAAAAAGAATGAGAAAAAAGTGAGGTTTTCATATAATTTTAAAAAAAAGTCGTCCTAAAAAAAAAAAAGATGGTTCATTTTGATGGAAAAATCTACGAGGGAAAAAATGAACTAGGGGAAAAAGTAAACTATGATTCTAAAATAACGCGATGGGGCTCAAAAAATCACAAACGCAGGAAATCCCACTTGAAAGACACCTAAAAAATCGTAATTAAAAATATATTCAAAAATCTTTATTTGTTTACAAATGCACTCATTTTGCTTTATGGTGCATGTCCTAATTTTAGCGTCTACTATATATCCATAATCTGTTATGCCGATCTATACACGCACTTTTTTTTTCTTTGTTGTATGTATTGATCAAATAAAAATCGATGTTACGTAATACAATAACAAAATTATATCTTTGTTTTTAGCATTAAAAAAATAAATATAAAATAATTGTAGAGCAGTCTTTCTTTGTATTTTCAATAATATTTCAGTTAATGAAATTTAATGCATTTTAGATTAAAACATGTTGATGGCGTGGAAAGTTCAGATAAGCAATACTAAATTAGTTTTTCTCAAGTTATTTGTTCAATATAATATAATAACTGTTGTGAAATATTTTCATTAAAATCTGTTTGTTTGTAATTTATTTTTCAATAAATTTAATCTATCTATTTATCATTTTGCTTTTATGCAGGTTTTATCTCACTGTTTTGCAATTGATGGCTAATTGCATATCATTTAATATTTTACAGCTTCAATCTAATTCAAGTTAAAACTATGAATTAAATTGTATTTATTACATTTTGTGTATAATTTTTAAATATAGTTTTGCAAGTAATATAATTTTGCAACTCATTTCGTATTTTTAATCATCTAGTCTATACAATTTATTTGTCATTTTAACATAAACCGCGTATAGAACTGACTATTTTTCAGTTTCAGAATTACTCATAATTAATCAGTTTTATTATTATTTTATTTTATGAAGGGAAGCTGTATTCTGCTTAAACATTTATGCCTGGGATGAATATGAAACGTTTAGAACCAGAGAACAATATTTAACCCTAAAAATATAAATTATTATTTCAGACATACTACGCATAATTTCAAATATTTTACATGTTTTTTTCTTCTTCTTTTAAGCTGTTTTTTTACATATATTTTAAAAAATATCTCCAATAAACATTAAAAATTAAACCTAATGTTTTTTTGTAAAAAAGATTTTTTTTCATAGTTATTAGCCTATTTTTACGGATTAACTGAAATCTTTATGGCGAATTAATGTTATAAAATGATAAAAGGAAATTAGAGTATTACTTTGTAGTTTTATTTTGAATTATTACTACCGAAATATTTATATTCGCATGTTTAAAATCTAGCTAAAAGTTTATTCCATATTTAAAATCCAAAAATGTTAAAATTATTGCATGAAAAAAAGAGGGTTGGAAATTTTTAGTCCCATATTCTTAAATATTATTTGTAATAAGTAAAAAAAAAATGCTTCACTTTATTGTTTGGCCTAGCAAAATTTCTCTGGTTCTAATAAAGTCTCGTATTTTGCAGGCAGCTCAACATTCTCTGTAATGGCCGGTGGTCGAATTGAGCTTCCCTGTGACATAAACACGACATCTTCTGAAGGTGACCTCTCTTTGATTCTGTGGCACAAAGATCAATCAAGGGTTCCAATATACAGCATAGATGTCAGAAATACCTCTCTAGCCTACGCGCGCCACTTCCCCTCGCTAAACATTAGCACAAAGAGCTATTTTAATGTCAGTGATAATCCTGCCGTTCTGAGCTTAGAAAGACTAGAAAAAACTGATGAAGGCCTCTATAGATGTAGAGTAGAATATAAGAGATCCCGTACAGAAACTTCCGAATCTCTGCTCAAAGTCCTGGGTAAATCTTTTATGTATCATCCTGTGTAGACTTTGATATATTTTTTTTGCCTCACATTTAAGTAATAGATATTAAGCATAAAGGAGGGAGAGTAATATTTATGATTCTATTAATAAATAATAAACATTGAGATTCATTTCCCTCTGCGTCGAGGTGATTTTACGATTAAATTTTAATTTTCACTCAACTGCAAAGATTAATTCATTAGTAATTATTATATTTTAACGTGTATTTATTTGAAAATAATTATTTTCAATTAATAATTGATAATAATTATTAATTATTTTATAGATTACTCAGTGTAAGTATTTCAAGCAGAGTGATCTATGTTACTTTGATCTATGTTACCTTATAATAGCAACTTATAAAAATATGCTTAAGTTATAATATATTTTAGTGTACTAATTACAATTAATTTAATAATTCAGCATATTAATTGTATTTATACTTCTAATACTGATTCTATCCCTGAAAAAGAAGAAAATCATTTCTTAATCTCCTATATAACAAAGGAGTTAGATTATTTGTAATTCCATTTATAAATACTAACCGTTAAAAAAGAAAAGAAAATCATTCCTTTTCGCGCCATAATGAATGCAGGACTTAGTTTTGAATTTCTTCATAATGCTAGAGTCTTCTAATTTATCTCTTTTTCTCATATGATGAATATTTATTCGCCAAAAATTATTTTAAAACATAAATATATTTCCGCGATAATATTCCATATTTACTATCAGAATTACTAATAATTTCATTAAAAAATGTAGCATTTGAAAGACACCTAAAAAGTTTTTTTCTTTCTTTTCTTAAAATTTAATCCCATCCACAACAAATTCAAATTTTTCATTTTTTTAAAAAAAAGCCTGTCTTGTTTTGTTTTAAGAAAATAAAATAAAATTTACGTATAACATTTTTGATAATGGCTATGCGGGTGAACTTGTTTTCTTCATAAATATCATGCTTTTTCCTGCAAATAGTTTTCAATGTCATACTACGAAGAAGGTGCTCTTCAGTATACCACTGAGTTGAATTTTTTCTTTTTGCTGAAATGTCGGGGATTTAACAAAATATTAAAAAAAAAACTATATCATCCTGTGTGAAAATATATGCTACGAATTATTTTATTCGAGTTCCCAAAAGATAGAACTGCATATATTTCGTTCTTGCATCAATGATTGTTCCTATTGCATTATTTTCTTACACCACAATAATGTTTGCATACAGAATAGCTTTAAAACACATATGCACATTCTAAAGACCGCACTTTAAGGACCACAAATATTGTTAAACGGAATTGTAACAAATAAGATGAAATCTAAAACATTAATCATCAATACAGAAAATAAACAGTTCTTGTAACATGTTTTCAATTTTAAATTTATAGTTTTATTCATGTAAACAGATATGCTTAGTTTTGGGTGCATTTTGATTCGTGGTGTCGAAAAATAATATATATATATAGTGATTATCCAAGAGAAACCTTCTTTAGTAATATAGTTAATAATCTTATTTAAGTAGTTAGAGAAAATGGTGCCAGGTTTAGTTAAATAAGTATTAGACNAGATTTTCAATGTCGCAATCACAGTAAAATTTGTGTGCTTTCTCTCAAACTTGGACTTTTATGCTCCAGGCAGATGACGTAAGCCGAGTGCAGCGCCACTAATTTGCATATTGCAATTTTACTCAGCTACTCTTAGTGGACAGCATATGCAAATTTTGCACGGTTTGGCTTACTTTTGAAAGAGTTATCGCTATTTTTGTGATTTTTCCTTAATTTATGATAACCAGTATATATATATATATATATATATTATTATAAAAATTATAATCGATTTGTGTACGGATAGGATACTGATAATATTTTGAATTGCTCCTTAATCTTCATTGGGAAGATTTAATCTTATGTTTAGTACTGAGAGAAATTTTTAATAAAAATATTGAGAAACGCGTATTCAAATATTTGTTCAAAGCAGCGAATTTGTAAATAAAGAAAAAACGTGTGATACGAAAAATTATGGATAATGAATAAAATAGAAATAAATAGCTTGTTATCCTAAAGAGAAGTATAAAACTAGTAAGCGTTTATTATTTACAAATTCAATATGCCTGAATTTATTTAAAGGAAAAAAATGTTTTAATGTTCGAAAAGTTACTTTTTTTGGCCCTACCGCTTTGATGCTTTATCCCTCTTTTGATCACCTTCTACAAAATAGGATAATAAAAGAAGACTAAGTCATTAGATTTAGCAAAACGGTTTTTTTTAAGATAATAAGCCAATTCTAAGTTAATTTTATGTTATGTATTCCTTGAAACTCTCATTTAAAAATAGTTTCAAAAAGAAAGGGTAAATTCCTTTATTGTTTGCATTCAATTCAGTTTAAAACTTTTATTCTTCAAACTTACTTTAGTAAACTACTAAAAATAGTCCGGATTGAAAGCCCAAAGCATTTATCTTCTGCAGAGGAGCAAAACTTCTTTAGAAAACATAGCTTGTCAAGAAAGATGGATAACTGGCTAAACATAGAAAATCTTACAACACAAACCTTTTATATTTAAAAAGGATGACATCAATAAATTTTAGTATTTTGCCAAAAATTTTATTACTAAACTTTCGTTAAAAAATCAGTACCACTTTGTAAAATAAAAACATAATTAATACGAGGGGAGAAAATTTGAAACTTGAAAGATCTTTTTCAAATAGATGATATTTGTTTTTATGTATTTTTTTAAAACAAAACAATAAGTGTGTTGTGACAGTTACTTTATTTTTATGAAATATTATATTCGCTTAAATTAAATTGGAAATGCAGTTGCAGGGATAATAATCTAGCAGTGGTGAAACAAGCTTGCATCATTATTTTCAGGTAATTTTTAAACAATAAAATTGAGCCATTAATAGTAAGAAATGAATTATTTCCTTCCTAATGAATTTTGGAACGATGATCGCATTTGGTAAATTTATGTAAAGGAGAGAAACTACAAGCATTCAGTAATTGTTGTGTTATTTCCTTGTTAATTGATATATTGGAGCTGCTTTGCTTCTTTAATGAAAATTTGATTAAATATGATGATATCATAGGAAAAATATGAAAATTACAGTAGTTTTATAATGTATAACATTTTCTAAGCACTTTTTAAAAAATGCCATAGGCAAATTGCATTAAAACATAAGAGTCCATAAGCCAAAAGCTTAACCAGACGAAATTCACGGCAAAATAGCCCATAGATTTAAACTACGATTTTAATATAAATAAATAATAAAACAATAATAATAATAAAATAATTTAATATAATAAAACAATTTTCTATGCGAAATTGATATTGCTAAGCAATATTATACATGTATAGTCTGTTTACAGCACAGATTAAAGATACTCTATACTCAAATAAGATTCCATATTTTCTTACTTGCTCTTAAAACTTATACATCGCCTTTTGATATAATATATTTTCTTACGATGCTGATATCCATTTAGAATATTAAAGAAATTCAATTTGTATAATACATCTCTCTTTTTTTCCTTAAATACAAAAGTAGATGCTGCCACAATTTTGATAACGACCTTCATGCACACTCACACATACTTTTTTTTCCTACTTCTACATTGATCGATTCTTTATTATCTTCATCTTTTTGGATTGATAAAATCATATAATTCTCCCGTCTAGTTTTAACATTCATCGTTTTTCAGATTACGTCTGGTAAATACTTTTGGAGATATTTAAATAATTAACATTTTGTCTTATGTGTGTATGACTTAAATTGATTCCACATTTTTCTAACGTAAGAAAAAAAACTATATTTTTTTGCAATGAGCGTTTATTTTTAGTTTGAAGTATAACAACAGATTTTCTACAAGCATTTAATAGTTAGTTTTTTGAACTATTGTTTTAGAAACTGCATATGTAACATATGTAATAAAAATTTTGAATTAATTTCTCAGCATAGTCTAAGATACTCTCATTATCTATATACACTCTAATTTAACTAAATATATATTTTAATAACGCTTATAAAAGTCATAAAAATCAATAAGAAGACTGCAAAAGCAAAAGGGAAATAATAAGTTTCAATTTAAGAATAATGAAACATACTCTCCGTTGAGCTATTTTTTTATATTTCATTTTTAGCCTCCTCGGACGTCACGTCTGTCCTACCAGACACCAATTTTGAATCACAACGACTTAATTATCATCTTAATCGTCAAAATCATATGATTTTTGTTTTATTTGATGATGAAGACGCTATTCCTCTCAAAAAGAGATATCTTGAAGCTATAAGGCCTATTTCGACTAAAGGGGTAAATTATTTGTTTTTCTCTCGTTCAAGGATTTTTTCACAGCTTAACGTATAATACGGTGTAATTTAGATGTACTGATTAAAGATAATTCATTTAAATGGAGATAGTTTATTCGCTTCCAGCTACATTCAATATAACCAATTTTTCTTATCACGAAAAACGTGTACATATTTTTTAATGTTTTAATATAAATTAGCTTCATACGTATACAAATTAATATTAAAACTTAAGCATAACTTAACGAATCTTAAGAATCACAGGAATTTTGTTTAATTTGATGATGAAGACACTATTCTAAAGAGGATATCTTGAAACTATAAAGGCATATTCCGACTGAAGAAGATATCTTGAAGTTATATTGCATGTTCCAAATGAAGTGAATAACTTGAAGCCATAAATATATTCCAGCTGAAGGGGTTAATTATTTGTTTTTCTCTCTTTCATGAATTTTTTATTGCTAAGTTAATAATATGGTACAATTTAGACACATTGATTAAATGTCGATGCATTATTTAATTAATTTTTCAGATCATAAAAAATTTAAATTGCACACATGTTATATAGTGTTTTAATATAAATTAGTTTTATAAGTAAAAAGCGTTTTTATGCATATTGACTTTAAGTGTAAATGCTTATTTTTTCAGTTTACGTTCTTAAACTTAGTATTATTTCTATTTCAGTTCCTCCTAAGGAAGCAATCATAATGGATGAATATGGACAACATTTGCACGGAATGATAGGACCATACAATGAAGGATTTCCTTTAGCTCTAGCATGTGAAGGAGAAGGAGGTAATTTGTTTTACGTTCGTAAGCATGGGAAGTGTGGATGTTCGTAGACACAAATACATTTTCATTAAACTAAAATCTTATAATTATAAAAATAATAAAAAGATAAAAATTAAAATTCGATTTTTGCACGAAACCTAAAGATTTTGCTGAGACGATTGGTTCATGCGTCAAGTCGTCATTGTTTAACCTTACAGTACGCACGCTCAGCAATTTTGCATAAGCGCGCATGCGTCGTATTTTTTACGACAGCGGTTACTTTAAAATTTTTGGCCAAAAAAATGACAGAAAGGAATGAATATTGATTACATATTTGACAGGAAATGAAAAAATGACATTGTTATCATAAAAAGAAATGATGATGCACTCAAATGAATGTAAATTGTTTTTGAATGCTTATATTAATGAGGTAGAGAAGCAATATTATGTTTTATTCTATATAGTCTAAAATTTTTTAGTTAAAATATATATTTTAAAAATCAAAATACTTTTAATATTCATCATATGCAAGTATTATTAAATATAAAAGAAAATCCTGGTAGAAAAAATACAAGTTTAACATTATTTGCAAAGTTAAGTTATCAACTTCTGCAAGGAATTTTTAATTCAGGAAAATTATTATAACTAGTTGCAAAAACTAATTTTAAACTAATTCTAAATTTTTATTTATTGCAAAAAAAGTTAGAAAAAAGAGAAAATAAAAGACTGGAAATTAAACTGGATAGATTGAGAAAAAATCGAAAAGTAGTATTCTAAAGAGATTTCTCATTGTTCGAAATTCACACTGTATTCCATGTAAATAATTTCGATGATCGAATTCCAGCTTGGAAAGAGTCGTCATTTCTTTCCCCTGAATCATTATTATCATCACTGCGAAAAATATATTGTTCATATTCACTACTGATATTTTTTTTATTTCTATATCTTCTTCAGTAAAATTGCTCTAAATTTCAAATCCAAATGCTTCTTCCCCTTCCTTTACTTAAAGGACAATTCTCGAGGAATGCGGGAAAAATCACCTGATTGTATATATTTTTTGCCATAAAAACTAAAATATAATTTTTTTAGATTTGACTTTATACGAATTGAAATAATACCCGTCAATTACTAAGAAAAAATTTGAAAAAAATTGAGAACGAAATATTTTTTGAATTTTCCTCCCACGATCTAGCAATTGTCGAAAATTTTACGAAAAAGCAACCACGTGGCATATAAAACCTCAATTACCAAAAAAGAAAAAAAAAATGAATAAATAAATTTCAAAAAATTGTCACGTGACTTCCTGTTGACACGTTCCATGATATAGTGGAATGGTTGGAAGGAGGAATAGAAATGACCTTCAGACTTCCGACCTGCGATATGCGAAAAAAGTTTATTGAAAACCGAATCTGTCGTAAAATTTGCGCAGACGTAGGATAACTAATACTCCTTTAGAACATGATTTTAGATATAGGAAACACCATTCGTGCTGGGTATTAACTACAGTTGTTCTGGAACTGGTTATGAGGAAATTTTTTTTTTTTAAGGATTTGTGTCTAAGATTTTGAATTGTAATAAGTGGTTTGTTTTTTTTGCAATATTATGCGGAATTTTACTTTTCATTCAATCTACGAGACAGCGATTGCGGTAAATGTCTTTTTACAGTACCATTATTTTTAAGTTCATGTTTGATATAGGTCAATGACTAGGCCATAGAAATGAACAATCTTGTTTAACTTCTGTAAATGGAATTAATTTTAAATCTCAGAACCATTTAAACTTTTTAAATAAATTTCAGTTATCACTTTTAAACTTAAAATAATAATAGAAAACTCAACTTCTAACTTGTTTAAACTATGGAAATAAGCAATATACTTTATTTAGATTATTAATATTTATGCAAAAATTAATAACTGTTGAAAAACTAGTTGATTAGTGATTTATTTTTCAGTTATTACTCAGAAACATAAGCCAATAGTCCAAGAATTAATATTATCTAATAAATAGTTGATTTGTTATATTCAAATTAAATACCTATCAGAAACCAATCACTTAATTCAAAGAATGACATAAGAAAGAAGTTAAAATTATTTTTAAATTATTAACCAGAATATATCCAGAATATATCCCTGCTCAGTATAAAATTTTAATTTGAAATTAATGATCTGAAGATAAGCAAAATTGAGTTCAACGAAATAAACAATTTAAATAAATTAGATTATGAATTAGATAAATTTTGTTTTGACGTATCATACTTTGACTTCAGTTACCTTTTATTTTTATAGGTTAGAAATAATCATAATTGACATTATGTATAAATTAGAATACCATATAAATAATGAATATGATAAAAACCCTTCTTAGCAAATGCAACAACTGAAATGCTTGACAACTAAAAGAAAGAATTTCACTTAAGCAATAATATATGCCTTTAAACTGATTAAGAAAGAAAAACTGAAATTTAAATTCTAATTAAGACTTTTAATTATTTAAAAAATGTACTGACTTTCTTGTAATGTAAGTATGTTCTTGTAATGCACTGTTTTATACTCTACTTAAAATTATGCTCTTTTTAAAACTAGAAAGTTACTTTTTTTATATTTTGCCAACAGAATGTGATTGATTACGACAAAAAGTGAAAAATATCGCGAAAAAAAAGGAATTTTTTTTTTATCTTTTATTTCTTTTCATTCCCTCTTTTGTATCGATTGGGAAGGTATGTGTGGCACTGATCATTCTTCATACCAAAAAAGAAAGAAATATCCTATGAAAAATTACAATTCGGAAGTTTTATGAGACTTTTAGTATAGCTTATTTCTTATTTTCTTGAAAGAAGGTGGGGAAAAAAATTCTATTGTTTGCTTGAAAAAAAGAAATGAGGTTGTAATGGTGTATTGACCGAATGAAGTGGGTTAATACCAAAAGTACATAACCCGGAACAACTACTGCTAATTTTTTGTATGAAATATATCCAGGTATTCCGTCATTTCCGTACTTAATACAAATTTTTAAAATCCCTTTGAAAAGTATTATTTTTAGGGTAGTGAAGAAACATTTAAAAAAGGAAAAGGTGAGAAACGTTTTCAATATCTGAGGAATATTTATAAGAAAAGCTTACTTACAAATATCAAAACTAGTTTGTGCCTGTTAAAATTTTAAGGTAATTCTAATAATTTATAGTATTTCTATGCCCTTCAGTGTCATTGTGCAATCAAATATTTCTTTAATGCTTTTCATTTCACCCACTTTGTTAATTTCCCTGTAGTTTAAATTATTATTTTTTTCCATGATGATAATAATAATATTACAAAAGAATAGCATGCTATCCCTTATATTTATATTCCTTACTTTATTTTGTAAAAAGTATTAAAACTGTACATTATTGGCGATTATTATGAAATTTTCTGTGGGAAAATAATAAAATAAAAAAAATCTAGATCAAAACTAATCAGCTGTTATTTAATTAATAAGAATAAAAACGTAAAATATTTTTAAAATCGGATTTTTTTAAATAATTAGTTAAATGAAAAACAAATACAACTTAAAAAATTATATTACTTTAATTAAATAACTTTTTAACTATAATCTCATCGTGTAATAAGTAATTCTCTGATTTATTTTTTCAGACCAAATGTATCGTCTATGAAATATCCTTAAATGTACTTTTCATTGACAGCTTTTATAAACACCTCAAGAAATGATTTGTAAATAGAAAAATTAATTTAGTAATCGACTCAAGTAATTGAATAATATCGATGTTTTAAAGTATAAAATCAGTGAAAATTAGATATGAACATAAATCAAAATTCGCCATTTTTTTGCTATTTTTGAGTAATTAGTTTTAAGAAAGTTGAGTTTTGAACAGTGCAGGTATGAACTGTGAATAATGAATGATAATAAATAGTCAAAACAATATTTAATGATTAAAAAATTTTTATTCTGCATATTAAATTGGTTTTAAAGCAGCTTTTTGCTGAAAATATAAGCTTCATATTGTTATGCATATATTATTGTTCTCATTTTTTTAGAACATTAAAATATTGCTTCTTTTGTTACAATACTTATTATTTTTTGATTAAACATTTAAACACCAGTATTGACATAAGTTTAAAATGAAACTTGGTGACTTCCAGCACAGATAATCGGATTTCTCCAGATTTCTTCAATAGGAAAACAACGTCAGCGCAAAATAGTATTGCAAAATGTTTCGCACATGTTTTCTCCATACTTAGTTTATATCACAGCTTTGTTTCCTTGATTCGTAATATAATATTTTCAATTCAGATCATAACTAATCTGGCCTCTCTGACATTTAATTCCTTCGCAGCTAAAAATTTTTGATCAAAACTAAAAACTGAAACTAAACAAGAGAAAACTACAGGATAAATACTTTACTTTAAACATTTTCGAAAAAAAAGTGTTTTGCATGTAAAGCTGCCCTGTTACGGTTGGGTATAGAATAAAAAATGAAAAGTTGCAAAAAATGATAACAATTTAGAAAGAAAAAAAACTAAAAGATTAATGGCCGGGTGAAACATATAGTTAGTACATTTTTTGAAGTGGTGTCGCAAAACTTTTATAACCCATAAGGAATAGTAAATTTTCTTCTTCAACAATAAGTTCCAGAAGATAACAAGTATATTCTATAAAAACATACCTCCTTCTCCATAGAAGCTATCCGAGTCTAGGATGAAACAAACAGAAAAAAACCTTGGCTAGNCTGTGACCTAATGTCACAAAAGCATTACACAAAAATATAACATACAAGTAATACAAAACAAAATAACACAAAAATATTACTGTCTTCAAGGACCTCATAATACACAATTGCTGAAAAATTATCAAGACGTTTCGTTGATAATGCAAAACTACACTGGTTATTATAAATTAGGAAAAAATATCGAAAATAGTGATAACTCTCCCAAAAGTGAGCCAATACCAACGACATTGTAATATGTTGTCAAATAAGAGTTATTATGCAAGACCGCAGCATGTAAATTAGAGTCACAGCAATGGAATGACAT